TAATTTCTTTGCCTAAAATCCAAGCTAGCTTTCCATCTTTTAATTGCAGAACCATGTCCTTTCTCTTTCTTGTCCCTATAATGTACCCTATTCTGACTGTACCCCATGGACAGCTTGTCTTAGCTCCAAGCCAGCTGCCTAGTCTACACTTTCGCTTGGGTATTTCTCAGGCACGTGACCTTTCTGAGTGTGAACCCAAGCCAGAAAACCAGGAGTCATCCTAGAATCACCCATCTCCTTGAGCCCCACATACACTGACACAGAGACCTTTCAGCCCCACCCCCTTAACTTGTCAAATCTCTCTCATTGTCTCTCTTTCCACTACTACTGTCTTCATTCAGATCCACATTACTTATTTTCTGGACTAAAGAAACTTCTTGCTAACTGATGAATCTGCTTTCCCTCTTGCCCCATTCTAGTACCTCCTCCAAAATTCTGTTTGATAGATTTTGAAAAGTTTTTTTTAATCCATGAAAAATTCTGTTTGATTGATTTTTTAAAAAAAAATCACAACCTGATCATGTCACATTCTTGCTTAAAATTATTCATTATGATGAATGTGGTTCACATAGTCTTTAGGATGAGGTTCACTCCTTTTAATTTGGAACACAGGGCCTTTCTTTATTATGAAACATGCTATCTCTTTAGCTTTTTTTTTTTTTTAAACAATTTACTACCCATGTGCAATGCCTGTTCCACAGTCATTATGAACTTTGTGCATTTTCCTGTACCTAAACCTCTTCATACGAAGCCTCCTTTTCTGTGGATTATTTTTCCCTCACTTTGTTACCTTCTGAATTCCTATTTAACTTTCAAGTACTTGACTTACATTGTCTCCTCTTCCAGAGTTGCTTGATCAATCCACCCAGTTGGAATTATATTTTCCTGCTCTTCTTTAATTATGGGCAATCTTCTGGGAGACGGATCACACCATATTGTTTGTGTTAATTTACTTATCTGTCTCCCCAAGACATAGGTTTATGTCCCAAAGTTGTGTGACATTGGACAAGTTACTTAACCTCTTTGTCCCCCAACTCCTCATCTGTGAAACACAGATATGGTATCCTATATACAGTCTACCTTTTAGGGATGTTGAAGGATTCAATGAGACAATGCATGCAAAGTATCTCACAAACACACTGTCCTACATCAGTGAGTGCTCTATAAACCAGAGCTGATATAATGTGGTACTTCACTTGTGAATTCCTCTATTAATTCCACAGTTATCCTCCTACCCAATCCCTCACCCCTGTCTTCCCTCATTTCTGCAAATGTCAGCAACTTTGCTGCCTACTTCAAATTGACAACCTATTGGACAAATCTGTTTCTGAAATTTTGGGGAATAATCACCATTCTGTAAAAGATATTCTTCCTCTTAGCCACTTCTCTTTGATTTTGCTGAAATGCATACATTGTTTTTCAGAAGTCACAAATAATTAAATGAGCCGTCACTTTCTCTCTGCCTCTGAAATTTGAAAACATCATATTGAAATTGTACTTTAATAAATAATAAAATAATGCTTTGACAAAAGCAACAAAATACATGGTATTGACACTTTGTAGACAGAAAATTTTGTTTTATTGTTTCCCCTGCCCTTTCTATAATTAAAACATCTTTTTCCATCCTGGCATACAGAATCCAAGAAACAATTGGAAAAGTCTTTCATCTCTAGTTCTAGTGCATGGTAGGTACTTAGAAACACATATTGTCTGATTGAATTCCTCTGCATGTACCATAAGAGCTCCTGGTGATAGAAACTTTGATTATGAAGTTGCATGATATCCTATGCTTCCTGACTAGGGGACATAAAAGCTGTGTATTTATTTAAAATTAAAAAAGAAATCTGAATTATTCCTTACTGGGAGAATGCTATCCATGTGTCTCACTTCCCTCCATCTGTCTTCCTTTCCTCTGGCTTTCCTTCCGGAGGAAACAAAGGGGTGTAAAGGGGTGGAGACTTCTCCTCCACCCCTTTCTCACTGTCTATCCACAAGTATCTTTTAGAACAGGCTACCAACCTTTATCCTGCTGCAACCTTTATCATGCTACAAGCCCTAGGAAGTGCCTGCTTGTCTGTGTCATGGACTTGGCTCCAGATACCCTGGCCTCAGTCCCACACATTCAGTATAATGTTTGCCTGCTTCAGAGGTACAGTTGAAGGGCTTGGGTCACACAATTTGTTTGCTGCAAGAGTATATTTATGCAGGACAGAGTAATTCCTGTCTTCACTGAAATGCATACTCCAGAGTAACGATTCTTAAACTTGACTATGCAAGGAATCATCTGTATAGATGGCTAAAACAGACTACTTGGGCCCCACTCCAGAGTTCCTGATTCAGGAGGTCTGGGAGGGGCCTGAGAACCTGTATTCTAACAAGTTTTGAGGGATGCTGATGTCTGAACCAGGGAGCACAGTGTGAGAACTCCCACTCTAGATTCTCTTGCCACACTGCTTTTTATCAAGTACCTGACTGTTAAATCACCGATATTCAGATTTTGAAAGTGTATTTGTCACATTTAGATAAATTTGAATTGCTCCTAGTAACATAAAAGATATTGATGCTGTGTATGCTTCATAGCATCCAAAAGATAAAAAGTGAAAATAATGCAAATCTGAAACAAACAAACAAAAAACCTTCCAGGTCTCACTCTTATTCATAATAATGATTAAGACAGTCTGTAGGTAAGTGAGAGATTTAAAAAAAAAAAACTACTTTATTAAGTTATGATTGACATACTGAGGGATGATTTAAAGTGTGCAGTACTGGGCTAATTTTCAGCAATCTGACTTTGTGTACTAGAGCAAGTAGGGAAACATATCATAATGACTTCTATACTATTCTTTTAAACATTTTTAAACTGATTTTGCCTATCCTGGTTCAAAAAGTATAGTTATTGAAATTTTAGGTTTAAAACCCTAGTTGCTCAGATAAACTATTTTCAATTAAAAGAAAAATATATATATTAACTTCCCGTATATATTCCATATTCATTGGCAATCTCCTTATGTTATGAGTCAGGTTTAGTGAACTTTGAAACAGCATTTTGCAGCACATAGTGACTGTGGCCAGAATTATTAGCTATTGTTGATGGCTATGTTTCACTTCCTCCCTACTAGATTTCCAGCTTACTAGAGAATTTCCCAATGAACAATATAAAATTATTCATGAGCCTTGGGTATTATGCAAACAATTGATTATGAAAATGTACTAGTAACCTAATTGTAGAATTCCTCTGTTATACAGCACAAATATATTTAAATAGGTCTTGCAAGACTCCAAAAATTAGAGCATGCTGGAGTTTTCCTTGTACTTTTGAATTGCTGCTAATACTTTGTTTTCATTTAATCAAATTGTATCGTATACATATTCATATCAATATATGAATAGATCATTACATACAGTTGTCCATACATTTTTACATATTTATATACAAAATATACCTATATCTCTCTATATGTTTATACATATAAAAATATCTGAGTTTGATTATTTTATCATATTACAAGTTATCTGACCTGCATTGTCAATGAATTGCTCATTTTTTCTTCTATAACAATTAGACAGTTAGATTTTATCCTATCAGCTCTATGACAGTGTTGAGAAAATTCATAGAGCCCTTCACACGCCCAATAAACATGATAACTTTTTTCATATATAGCTGATCCCAAGGCTATTAAAAGATTTGGATTTTGTTTATTTATTGGTTTGTTTCAACCTGTACCAAAGGCCACACCTTCACCGCACATCTACACCAGCCCCCTTTATGTTGCTTTCCCTACTCCTGGAGTACCAGCCTTTCCTGCAGCACCAGGTTAGGTAGTCACACAATACCTTGATTTACAACTAGGTTGTAATCAAAATAGGAAACAGGTGGAATCACAACTGGGTATGGTGCCTTGGATATTAATGGCTTGGCTCAGCAGTGGAATTTCTAAGCCATGTACACTTTTTTGTCTTAATTATGCCTTCATTAAAAGCTTTTATACCCAACAGAATAAAGTAAATATTTTTTGATCTCCATAGTGTGCTCCCAGACTGTAGATTTGCACAGCAGGGTCTTGATAATCTGAATAAATTGTATTTCCCCAAGGAGTTTATCTTTCAAATAAGGTCATAAAGAAATGCAGCTCCCCCATTCGTAGATTTCTCTATGTGCCTTTTCTGCTATGAGTAATATAGAGCTGGGGAACCAGAGTATATTATAGTAATACATACTTGCTTATGGTCCAGTATAATGTCTCTATCTATTCTCCCTACTTATCTCTGGTGAAGTATTTTTTAAGTACAAAAGAAGTGAATGATTTTATGTGGCAGCCATGGTTTTTGCTGACACTCAGAAAAACAATGTCCATATTAGACATTCAGTGTGTTCTTCCCTTTACCCACTCAGTGAGTATGGACTATGCAAAACTATAGTTTGAGTACTGTAAACAGCATTTGTAAAAGGGAATAATGATAACTACTGTATGTTGAGCATCTACTATGTAGAAGGTACTTTACCTGCACTTTTGAGAATCCTTATCACAGATCTGGAATGCAGTGTCACTTTTCCCAATTTTTAGATGAGAAAATTAGACTTGAAAAGATTAACCACTGACTGAAGCCATCCAGGTGGGTCAGCTCCAAATCATGTGTTTTTCCTACAACTCTAAACTAAAGACGCCACCAGGGCCTTGCTCCCACAGCTTATCACCCAATGGAGGAGACAGGGAAACTGTGAAATTAGGAACCTAAGTAAATATGCACAATTAGGTGTACTTGTAATATTTCTAAATCATGAAGAGTAAGATGGCAACACACTTCATGGTGCATACATATGCTAAAAGTAGCACACAGTTCTGAAAAGTTCAGGCAATAGCTTTTTCCCATATTTTTAGGTTGCCATATTTATCTCCAGTGCAGCTAACATTTCTAGGCACGTACCTTTATTTATTTAAATATTAAATATATGCATTAATATTTAATAAATTATTTACATTGTAAAATTGTTAAATATTTTTAGAGGAGCAGAAAAATCTATGTGTTTACCATGAACTAAGAACTAAAAGCAATACAAGTTGCAATTTTAAAGATGTAGTATTTTTTCTTGCCTACCCACTGTATATCAATCAAAACTTGCTAGGTAGCCACTTTCTGAAGACAGAGAGGAAGATCTAAAGAACTAAAGATACTATCTGCACCTTTATGCACGGCTGGGGAGAGAAGAGTCAAACAAATGATACAAGTAGCAAGTGTAATTAAAAGTCAGAGGAGGGAAAGTCCTCCAAGTTGGAGTGGCCTGCCTTTCCCTGGAGATGGAATCTGATCTGGATTGTCCCATAGAGGGGAAGGGCATTTATATTACAGAACTTCCCCTTTCTCACAAGCTTTTTAAAGTCTACTGAAGCAAACGATGTCTTCAGATCCCTCACAAATAATAATCATTTGTGACAAAAGAGTCTCAAAGTTCTGCTTATGGTCTAAAGGAAAACTAATGAGAATTCTTTTGATTATATCTGGGTTTTTTTTTTTGGCAGTTTGCACATTTATCTTTTTCTGATCATCACTAAAAACCAAGAGAAGTAGGCTTCTTTTTCAACATTCTGGGGAAAGGCAGAAAAATCTAACATATAGAAAACAAGGAGACCCAAGCAAGATTCATTGTGGAAGTCAGGCCTCATGTATCTGGTACCACAAGTGGGCATTCCATTATATTGCCCAGTTGTATGAAAAACCCGACACCTAGTTAGCATCACAAGGGAATTTCTGAAGCTCAGATCAAGTACTTAACACTTTTCTCAGTTAATTGTGGGAGAGCTGTTTATTTTGCCCAACTGTTAAGTTATATCTATAACCAAGCTATTATTTCCTCTTTCCATGTAAAGTCATAGATGTGCCTCACAACTGTTTGCTTTTTTTCATTCTTGATCCAACAAATACTTCTCTGTTGCAATCTGTGAGAAAGACATTATGATTGGCATTGTGCAGAATACAAAAAGCATGTGATGCAAAACCTACTTTTTACTAGTTTACTGGGTACCTTTTTAATAGTTTGAAGATAAGCTACATGCATGAATAGCTTAGTGGCAAGCTTATTGTGTATGTGATAGGAGACTTGAAGTGGGAGACATTAGAATTCATTCAGTGATAAAGAGCCTTAAACATACCATATCCTACTTGCTACTTTGTCCTTAAAAGCAGCTGATAAAATTTTTAAATTTCACTTTGAGTTAACATTGTTAAAAATCAAACCATAGTGATTTTTATGTAGAGTGGTTTCTCAGGCTATTTGGAATAGATTTGGGAGTGGTTTTAAAAAGATAATTTCTTGACTTACATAGCCAAGGATGGCCTTTCATTTAGAGGAATTTTCAAATTGTGATATAAAATCAATATTGTATATAAGAACTTCATGTATGCTACTACATCATGGGCATAGAAACCACTATGTCTCCTGCCTATCTTTATCTGTAGTAAAGTATCGACATGGGATAATTTAGGTGACATTTCGAAGGAGACTTGTCTGAGTGAAGTGCATCAATAATTGGAAATGAAAGATTATAATTACATTGATGAAACAAAGCATTGTTAAAATAGCCGCATCTGTTGAGTGTTATTACCCAGAAAAATCTGTAACCCTGTTCAATTTGGACATCTTAGAGGGGGAAAACTTGGGAAATCAAAATGACATTACTCTTGTTTTAACCTTGAGAGGAGTTTATTATTATCTTTAACCCAAGTTGTGGTTTTCTATACTGACAGTACTTGATGCTTATTTTTCTTTCACAAGTCAGTGGCATTCTCAGAACTAGATGAGACAACAAGAGAAATAGGTGTTTTTAAGGCTTTGTTTTGAAGGGTGCCTCATCTAGTTCTAAGAATGTCAGAACACCTATTTTTAAGATGACTGCATCCACTATAGATTATCTCCATTATCTCCCCCACAAACAGATATCATATAATTATGTATAATGTGTATAATTTCTGTGCCAGAGGCATGATTAAACTGCAGTGTGGATGGACAAGGGGTTATTGACAAGCCAGGGAGCCACGGCGGTAGCCAAAACTAAGACTACGTTTCAGAAATTCAGATGATTGAGTCTCAGCTTGTATCATCATTGGCACACAAGACACAGCTCTTGAGCATGACATCCCTAAGCTAGGCTGTGGGTTGTGTGTGGTAAATACACCGACTCTAGGTATAAGGCTAATGGTTTTCTCTCATTCAAGAAGGTATAGGAGAATACAAGTGAGTCTGGGTGGCATTATTTCAGAGATAGGCTTAAATCTACTCTAAATTATAAACAAAGTACTTCTTGTATGAACTTTGGTCATTTATTAGTAGTACCTTCCTAATTGAGATATTGAGAGACACCACAAAGGTGATGGCCACTCTGCTGTAAATGAGACCCACCAGGGGACATCAGTGAGGCCAAGACTAGTTGTTCTCTTGCTGCCTTCACTGGTTTGGGAAGGGTGGGCTGCAAGGCCACAGGGTCAACACTGTCCTCAGACTGCTCTCCTTCCTCCCACTCATGTCCTAACTGCGTGATAATTGCCTTGCAAATGTAATTACACTTGAATATAAACCAAAATAAAACAATATTTGCCTTTCCCATATTTTTACCCCTACCATATTTGGTAGTTAATCTCGGGAATAACCATTGAAGGAACCACTTAGGGGAAAAGGCCACACAGAAAGACAGAGTTTGGGGAATATATAAAGTTTAAAAATTATTGAACTTGAAAAACTAGTGTTTATTCCTTAGCTAGTGTGATATTGGGGACACATTTTATGGCTCTTCTTCTGTTATTTAACTTGTCATTCACACTATGAGAAACAAATAGAAGGAAAAAGAGAAGCCAAATAGCCCTAAACCAAAGGAAAATAAATACTATTTAAAAATATTCCCCAAAGAACAACAATGTATGCACCATGATTCTGAATAGAAACTAAATTTCAAGTGAGAAGCAGTGTGACAGAAATGAAACCTTTTTAGAGAAAAAAAGAGAAAGATTTTCTTTTACTCAAGAGAGTTTCTTGTTGCTGAGCTGTAATTTCCATTCAAAACCACTGCCGCTACCTGGGTACTCCCATTTTTAAGTCACAGAATGTAGGAGAACTGAAACAATCTCGTAATTAGGAAAAAGTATCATTTGAAAAGCTATTAAAATCTTTTGATCTAAGTAGCCAATTGATAGAGGAAGTAATTCTCTGTTGGACTGAAAAAGAAATTTGGGGTGGATTGATTTTTTTGTCACAGAAGAATGATTATATTGTACTTGTTCAGTAACACTTTCAACTCTAGTCATTATTACCAATTTTCCCACACAGAAAACAGAATGATCACTGGCTTTACCTTTATGTGTATGTGTCAGAAGGCCAGAAAGAGAAAGGGACAATCGGGGAGGCCTGTGAGGTATGAAAAATGGCCTGATTTGGACAAGGTTCAGAATTGGATAGACATATTGGAAAGACATGGGCTATTCTGTTTTTGCCTAATTATAAGCAAACAGAAAAAGCTCATGGGCATTCTTTCATTAAACATACATGTATTAAGCATCTGCTCCCTACTGGATACCAGGGACACACAAGGTGTGAAACACAATCTTTGCTTCCAAGAAGCTTAAATTTGGTAGAGAGAGATAGATCTGCAGTCGAAGGGTGCTTGCAGTGACAAGTGATGTGCTAGATATGTTTGCACGGGGCAGAGTAGAAGCACACAGGAGGAGGTGGTCAATTTGACCTGATCCAGGGAAGTTGAAAAGATGATCTGGTTTCTTCATTCAGCAAGTGCAGCTTGAATGTACCTGGCGTTGTTCTAGGCTCTGAGGATACGGTGGTGAACAAACCAACAGCTCCTTCCTCCCACAGAGCTTACTGGGGGATCAGGGGAAGAGACAAACACATTATAAACAAATAGGCAAATAAATGCTGGAGATAATTATAGGTGATGACAAACTCTAAAACAAATAAGATGGAGAAATGTGACTGAGGGTGACATGGAGAGGAAGGGAGATGTGCTACATAGGGTATTCAGATGAAACAAGGGAAACACAAATCCTCCCCCATAGGAATTTTGCTTATGCTGCTTCTTTGGCTTGGAGCATCTCCCTGAAATCCCACCATCATCCTGCTTTAAAATGTAGGTTTTGTTATTATTGAGTTATGGTGAGGCCAACAGATCAGGAGACAACTCCCATTGAAAACATGGTTTGTTTCTGCTCCAATAAGAGGGCACAGACCACACCTCCAGGACCACATAGGGAAGCCCCAGGGTTGGTGAGGAGGTAGAAGGAGTGAGGGGGGAAAAGTGGATCAGAGCCTTTATAGTGGTATCTGCAGGAAGGAAGTGGGCAAGGCAGGGTTAGCAGGCTTATGATTGGCTAGTTTGAAAGTTTCCGTGGGTTCTAGAGAGTAGGGGCTGGCTTTGGTTGTCTGGTACTTGGCCCTGGGATGATGGGGACAGAGGACTATTGCCTTCTGGAGTGTAGAAGCCACATAGAGGAGGTGGTTTAGAGTAATGGTTCTGGATTGGTTACTTTGCATATGAAAGCCGTTTGCTCTCTCAAAGAATTGGCTAGCCCTGGGAGGGGCAGTCTCTTCCCAGTCAGTGAGACCCCAGGTGCCAGAACACAGAGAATACAGAAATAAAATGTTGTTAATATACATCCCCATCCTACCCTTTGCCAAGTGAACAAAGGGTGCTTTTCCTTCAACTCTCAGCACCAAACGGCTTCTCAGGGAAGCCTTTACTAACTTTCTACACCAAGTCAACTCCAAGTTAGCCCTTTACCAATTCCAAGTCAAATCCCTGTTACGGACACTCAGTCTATATTCTACTCTTCGTAGCTTTTACCTCAATTATAGTTTTCCATGTAATTGTAAGGTTTTTAGATTTATGGCCTTCTCTTTCAGTAGACTATATATCCCATAAGACCTGGGGATTGCCTTTGTTTGCTCATCTGTGTTGCCAATTCCTGCTGTAGTCCTGGCACATAGTGTGAATGTGTAGGTTGTTGTCATGGCTAGAGCCAAGCCAGGGTGGACAGGGTTGCTGCACTGTAGGATGTGAAGATCGCAAAGTCCAGGTCATGGAAGGCTATACAGTGTTACTGAGTTTGGACTTTTTCCCAAAAGCAAATCGGAATTTATTAGTGGGTTTTAAAGAGGTAATAAATATGGCCAGATTCTTGTGAAAAGACAGGATGGAGAGTTTGCTACTGGAAGCAAGAACGGTAATTTAGGACACCGTTGCAAGAAGTCCAGACAGGGGATGATAAGGGACAGAACAAGAAATACTAAAGAGGAAAAAGAGACAGGACTGGCGATTGACTAGATAAAAGGGAGGAATATGGGCCAGCTTTTGGGTTCTTGATGTGGGTGTCTAGATGTGACTGTTATCTAAGAGAGGAGATACAGGAGAAGATGCAGGCTATTATAAAATAAGCTCAGTTTAGGCCGAGCACAGTGGCTCACGCCTGTAATCACAGCACTTTGGGAGGCTGAGGTGGGCAAATCATGAGGTCAAGAGATGGACACCATCCTGGCTAACACAGTGAAACCGTGTCTCTACTAAAAATACAAAAAATTAGCCGGGCGTGGTGGCAGGCACCTGTGGTCCCAGCTACTCGGGAGGCTGAGGCAGGAGAATGGTGAGCACCTGGGAGGCGGAGCTTGCAGTGAGCCGAGATCGCACCACTGCACTCCAGCCTGGGTGACTGAGTGAGATTCCGTCTCAAAAAAAAAAACAAAAAAAAACCCAAAACTCAGTTTGGACATGATGAGTTTATGACTGTGGGATACCCAAGAGACAGCATCTTCTTATAAGCAGTTGGGAAAATGAATTCAGAGCTTAGGAGAAAGATGTGGGTTAGTTGTATAGATGTGGCAGGCATTAACTTGCAATTAGTTTTTATCTTAATTCTGTGGTTTTTATTTTGGCCACCCCCTCTTTCCCTGAGTTAATGGTGTGCCTTATTCAAGACTTGAATATCTAAAGAAAACACATGCTTCATTTTGACCTCCTTGCATCGGTGGTTAATCATGGTTTATGGATCCCAAACAACAATCCTCAAATATACTTTATTGTTCTTGCTCTCCCCGGCAACCTACTGTGTACTTTCCACGTGCCAAACTTTTATGGTAAGTGCTTTTCATACATTATCTTTATGCCAACCCAATGAGCTCGTTGAGCTCTTAAATTTGTACTTGGGGGAGGCCGGGTGCCGTGGCTTACACCTGTAATCCCAACACTTTGGGAGGCCGAGGCAGACGGATCATAAGGTCAGGAGTTCAAGACCAGCCTAATCAATATGGTGAAACCCCGTCTCTACTAAAAATCCAAAAATTAGCTGGGTGTGGTGGTGTGTGCCTGTGGTCCCAGCTGCTCGGGAGGCTGAGGCAGGATAATCACTTGAACTTGGAGGCAGAGGTTGTGGTGAGCTGAGATCGTACCACTGTACTCCAGCCTGGGCGACAGAGCAAGATTCCGTCTCAAAAAAAAAAAAATTGTACTTGGGGAATAACACAGATTCAATGACTGACCCAAGACCCCAGCCAATGGTGTGTCAAGCTGGATTTGAGCTGAGTCTGCCTGCCTCTACCGCCCTTGCTCTTCTCTGCCTGCCTTGGTTGCCTCCAAGTGCCTGTGGTGGCTGATGGTTGGTTTGGTCCTGAATGCAACTCTTCTCTTTTTTCAACATATAAAAGGCTTATTTTTTAAAAGTCTAGAAGTATATATACAAAAACATTAATAGTGATTATCTCTGCATGGTGAAATTATGACCGATTTTTGTTTTCCATACTTTGTATTTCCTGAATTTTATGAAATGAGCATTTATTACTTTTTATAACTAGAAACGGCACTCTTTCTATAACAGCAGTATTTTTTGTTTCCCATCCACAGTACTATTGTTGGGCATTTAATGAAGTGTATTGCTTCCCACCTTCCCCCATTACATTAATGGAAAGTTTAAAAGCAGCATTATTGGTGCTTATTTTGCTTACACATGGTTTAACCAAAAGGACGAGAAGCAATGGTTTTGCTTAAGGCTTACAGAGCCCATCTGCCCCAAAAGGAGGAGTGCGTGCTATGTTAGCATTGCCTTGGGGTGAGTTTTCTTTTTCCTTCAGCTCCCCGCTTTATACAGTTATCTACTGAGGTGCGAACTGTGCACCTCAGTATAAAGTTCTTAATACTCTTAGATAACTAGAAAGGGAGGAAAGTATATTGAAAATTACTTGGATTTATAGAGTGAAATGGTTATCTGATAGCATTCTGCATTCCTCAAGTTATTGGAAAAATATTGCTCATAATTATATTAATACTTGTAAGTTAAAAGTGAGGGGAAAGTAGGAAACAGCCCACTCTCATTCTACTTGACATATGTAAATTTTCTTTCAACAAGTGTTCTGTATCTCTGATTTTTGCGGGGGTACAGTGACAAAGGTACAGTGGAAGCTGTGACTCTCTGGAGGCATAATTGTAGAGCCCTGGCTATGAGCTTGAGACTGCAGGTAAAATCCTCCCAAATTTGAAGCATTTCTGCAGAAACTCTTCAAAAAGGTGGGAAAAATGGAATGTTTGAGGCTGAGAAAAAAAACAAAGAACAATTACAAATCATCCATCTTAGGTGGATTCAATACAGAATTATTCAAACAGGAGTCTTTTCTGTGAGATTTCCTCATTTCCGGAGACCTTGTATATAAAACTCTGGGTTTTAGTTAAGACAGGATGGGTTGTTTTGACTTAAAGACCTACTTAGTTTGAAGTTTTAGAAAAAGAGCAGAGTCAGTCTGTCTTCATACAGTCTATGTCATCTAATCATGAATCTCCATTTACCTGCCCTTACATTATCTTTAGTAGAGAAAAAAACTGTAAAATATGGTAAGGGTAGAAAAATCAATTGCCCTCATTAGTAAAATGTCTCTAGAATGTTGCAAAATAACATTTCAGCCCTTGAAACCAGAGACCCCTTTCACTCCTTTTATTAAGATGTCTTTAAATATACGGGTTTTGAGAGGAGTAAAATGAGGAAAAATTATGAATTCTAGAATAGCCGTTCTCTACGCAGAGCCTTATAATTGTGATTTCTGTTTTTGTTTTGTTTTTTTTTTTTTTTTTTTTTTTAACACTAGCCCTCCCATTTCTCCCACCTCTGTGATGAGAACCTTGGTGAGTCCATCTGAATTTCTTGCCTGCTCTTTCTTGGATTGATTTCTAAGAGATCTTTTTTCATTTTTATTTTTTTGGCACCCAGGAATTAAATAGCTTTAATTACTTGGATCTGTACAGACTTGCTGACCTCTTTAACCTCACTTTGTTGGAGAAGGCAGTGATCGATTTCTTAGTGAAACATCTCTCTGAACTCCTGAAGAGCCGCCCGGAAGATGTTCTAACGCTTCCCTATTGCCTGCTTCAGGAGGTGCTGAAGAGTGACCGCCTGACCTCCCTGAGCGAAGAGCAGATCTGGCAGGTAAGGGCGCTGTGCACGGTCCTCTTCTGGCACTGAAAAGGCATGCCATGATTTTAAGTTAAAGGATTGAGGAACAATTACCACTATTTTAGCAGCTTTGGTCCTCATGGAGTTGTTTTAGAAGTCATGCTTCCTTGATGGACAAGTGATTGGAGAACACTGGCCCTTGAGGCTCAGAGCCCTCAGCGGACTCTACAGCTTAACTCAGGGAATTGCAGGGGCGATCCATGAGACCCTCAATGTGGCTTCCCAGAACCTAACATGGTCACATCTGAGTCAAGGGATTTTTTTTTCCTGATAAAAATTGTTTCTTAAACAAAATATGACAAAAAAATGGATTGTAAAGTGATATATATGCATATTTAAGACCAGTAGAATCAGAGTAAATTTGGGCCTTTGCTGTAAACAATTCAGAAACATTTCTTTGTTGCAATAGAGAGCAGCTTGGATCTTGAATGAAATGAAGCTCTTCTTGCATAGCAGTGGAAAAATCTCCATCCTTAGCTCATTCTGCATTCATTGCTATTTTCCTAAGCCCTGCCTTTTCGCCTGACATAGCATTCTTTTCACATTGTGTCATTCCTTTGTCTAGAGGACAGGAGGATGTTTTGTGGTTTGAAGTTGATTATTCAATTTAAATCCTCTTCTGCTCATCCCCAGTGACTATTCCTTGAACAATCCACATGGCGTCTTTGGGGAATATTCAGAGAGCCCATCTTCCTCCTCCCTATCACAGCCTGTCTATTTCACTCTCTGAAGCACTGGCTAGCCATTTTGTTACTTCTAAGGTGCCATGCCTCCAAGATTTCACGATCATTTGAAAAATAATTATATACAGACTACTAGGGAAAATTTAAAGTCTTCTATTAGCTGATTAAACAGTGAATCCCTGGTATCTTATCAAGTGATATTTAGAGAGTATTTTAATTCTGGCCAAAATAGTCATATAGGTAGCTATTAATTATTCAGTAGCTAACTCTACTCACTGATTTTTTTCCTGATACCTTTCTGCCTTATTTCATTATTCGTGTTATTTTAATCGGTAACTTCCCTCTTCATTATTGCTTCCACCAGAGGGAATTAAAGAGCTGCAGTGTCCTGAAGGCTTCTGGGTCCCAGGCTCTTTGCAAACTTATTGACAGCAGGCCTGAAAGAATGGCTATTATCACTGCATGTACCAGATGAACAAAATGAGCCTTCTGTGCCTTACTCAGAGTCACAGAGCAGAGCCAGCCTTCAAATTTAAGTCTGCTAACACCAGACCCCATGTCTTCACTATTGCACACTGTCTTGATAAAGAAAATATAAGGACCAAAAAGACACTAAAGAATAAATTTTCGTGACTCCTTGGGTATTTTTGGTAATGTTTGTTCAGGCAGAGGTTGAATAGGTTGGCGAGGATCTGTTTTTGGTAGAAATTTCAATTATCTGTGGCTCTCTCTTACAAACACAAATCAGCAGAATTTACTTTGGTCAGTTCAAAGTGGGAAGTAGCCAAATTTTCTTCACTTCCCAAGGGAAAAAGAAATATTTGGAATGAATCCTGCATTTAATTTTTTCTAACTGAATTGACGTCTGAGGCTAACCATCCTTGTGGCTTCTATCTCTTTTTGTGGTGCAGTTAAATGCACTGCCAGAGATCGACATGGTAATGTGCAGATGGCTGAGTGTCAAGAAAATTCCATATTGTCCACTTAAGAGTTATCATAATTGCCTCTCTAAAGGTTACTAATATTATAATGTAGAATTTTAAAAGCTGGTTTCTGCTGCAGGCAATAATTTTTTTAATACCTGGTCCTCAAGAAAGAATTAAAAGACTCACATAAATATTATCAATTTAGGCATTAAGCAGGCAATAAGAAACTGTTTTTGCTTTATCTTAGTAAATAAGTATTTCCCTCATATTCAACCCCATAGAGAAAAATCAAATCAGACCAGCTATTTTGCCTCAAGTGTAGTTAAGTTCATCATTTTTGCTGAGGTTATACTAGTAATGCAATATACCATGGAAGAATCTAATATTCAGCCCAGGGTAGAGATTGGGTATGCCAGAGGATTAGTGTCAGGGTGCTTTATAGAAGTGAAACTTGATGGACAGGCTGGAGACAGATCTACAGAATCTCATTAAATTGCTGAATTGTTCATTACGGAACGTTCTCACTGTAATAAAGTGCTCATTGACTTTAACAAATCCCCATCCCGTGTCTTAAAGAAGAAGAGTGAAGCAAAGGGTGTTGGGGAGGAGAAAGGAAATTGGCACAAGGTAGGACAGGTTATAGAAAACTGGATGGAGGGGGGCGTGCTATTTGATTAATATGTGCAACCAGTAACTTAGGTGAGAGCATGGTAAACACACACACACTTAGGCAGCTGGCTCTTCTACTATGTCCTGATAATGTAATCTGGGACCATTCCATTTTTGGTGAAAGATCTAATTTTCATTATTCACCAGACTTCATGCAGTCTGGCTCTGAAGACCTGTCATAAGAACCTTCAAATTATCCTCACTGAACCAACTCTTTTTCACTTTTTCCTGCTGTTCCTCACTCAGGCCCTTTCCTCAACAAAATGTGCTGTATGCAGACCACAGTAATCATTCTGTGGATCTGCGAATCTGTAAAATACCCCAAGATGATGCCTTGGAACTGTTCTTTTTTTTTCCGTCTGACCTTTTTAAGCTTTATTCTGAGTCTTTTCTCTCACAGAAATCTTCTTGGTCCCTTGTAGACAAATTTTTATCCCTTCCATTTCAAGTCTGAAATGACTTGATCTGTTGGTTAATTTCACTCTATATTTAGAGGTAACAGAGAGAGTTGTAGACATACATACCTTAGAATGGATAAGGACGTAGAAGTTCCCTGAAATATATATTTTTTAAAAATTTAGTTCAATTCAGCTCAACAATTTGGTTTTAAGTTTCAAGGCCAGCAATTTATCAGGTTCCAGATGAAAGACACCAAATTGGCTATTGGGTTCAAAGAAAGGAGACTAAAACCGAACAAATCAGCTGAAATGGAAATATGGGACATGAGGTCACTTGCATTTGTGACCTGGCAAATCTCTATCCATTTGATTTTGCTTTCGGATTTTAGCTCCCAATTAGAACTTCGTTTCAGTAGGGCCCTGTTAAATATCTTCTGTTAGATTTTGCATATATTTTCATACTGTTGAGCCAGCGTCTTGCCATAGGAGCTGGGGAGTGCAAGAAATGGGGAGACGTTGGTCAAAGGGCACAAAACTTTCAGTTAGAAAATAAACAAGTTCTAGGGATCTAATGTAGAGCATGGGTTCCAGGGATATGTTCATTAATTTGATTGTGGTAGTCATTTCCCAGTGTATATGCATATCAAATCATCATGTTGTACACCTTGAATCTATACAATCCTTCTCTGTCAATAAAATATTTTTAAATAAGCCAAAACATGGCAATTCTTCATTTAAAAAACTTAGAACAACACATAGAAATAATTCCATATCATTCTCATGATTGAATCTGTTTTCATTTTCATAGGAAGTGCTGAGTAATCTCTGTTTTCTTTTCAGGAACATGCATTTCCTGCATTTTCTGCCTTTAGGTTCTCTTTCACCAGAGTGAGAGGGAGATTACTGTTTTCCATGGCAGTACAATTTATAGAAAAAGCCTGAATATAACATCAGTTCTTATATACAGTAGCATAGGGAGAAAGTATGGCTGCCCACCCATCAGAATGTACTGAGCACCTTCTAAATACCCAAAATTATGCTAGAGTGGAAGGAAGGCAGAGGACAGGTCTGCCAACTCCGTTTTCCTCTCCCAGGCCTCCTCCCAAATGGAGAGAATCCTTCTGATTTTAAACCATAAGTACAGCTCTCTGAATTTTTATTTTATCTCCAAAGTAGCCGAAACAAGAAAGATATTTAAAAATGAAAGAAAACAGCTCTGGGCATGGTGGCAGGCACTGTAATCCCAGCTACTCCGGAGGCTGAGGTAGGAGAATCAGTTGAACCGAGAGGCAGAGGTTGCAGTGAGTGGAGATCGCGCCACTACACTCCAGCCGGGATGATAGAATGAGACTTCATCTCAAAAAAAAGAACAGTACTTTTCTTACTTTATTAACCTTGGGGTTGAGGACACTTCCTACTTGTATTCTGGGTCTCACTTTGCCTAGACTTAAGTAGATACTAAGACCAAAAAATTCACTGGCTATGTGAGTGACGTCAGACAAGGTGAGACCTCAGCAGGGAGGGTTGCCTTTATTCTATTAGGTTGGTGCAAAAGCAATTGCACAAACCTAAATTATGTCCTATTTTAGTGTGGCAAAGAGGACCATGTAACCTGATTTGGGGCTGGGGCAATCCTGTTCATATTTGTCCGTGATTATCCATCCCTAGAGGCAGAGGCTGTGCTGTAGTGTTTGCATTACCTACTGCCATGTTCTTTTGCACTCTATTAATAATAAACAAAAACAATAATGTAGAGTTTCCATATTAAAATGTATTGAATGGATAATAAGACATCCTACTATTCCTACATAAGGCTGGATTTATTCTAAGAAAATTGATATAGAAAATGAGTTTGGCCTGCGTTTTTCCTTATATTTTTGTTGGAAATTTGCTTCCCTAAGTCATACTGTTAATTACATATTCATTTTATATCTTGAAAGACATAAGCCACATATTGTTTAGTCAACAATCTCAAATGCAGTGGTTTGTTGACATGCTCCTCCTGGGCTTTTATGTCTACCACAGAATCAGCCACGTTACAGTTTGAATTAATCATTTTCTTCAAAAGGAGTCCCAGAAGTGAACCCAAACAAAAAGCTACTATCCCTTTATAGTTGGAAAGTAGAGGACACTAGTGATGTACTCAGCTTTCATCTTTTATCCTTCGATGATAAATTGACCCAAATGTACCTCTGGCCAGGAAGAAGCAAGGACTTTAAATAGTACTATATGTCAAACAATACTATTAAAATACTTCCAATTTGAATATCACATCACAGTTTTGAGAATGCATCTGC